ATTCTACGATGGAAAAACTGTATAAGCCATTCCATAGAGCTTTCAAAAAGCTACAAAATCCATATCCGGAAAATTTTTTTACCTTTATTTTTTATGAGCTATATGTTGAGTTGATATGATGAGTTATGGTGTTTTATACAAAAACAAAGATTTTCAAAAAATGGGCTGTATTTTTTTTATTTTCAACTTTAAAGAAAAAACTTTCAGAAGAAAAAATGTAGTATTTTGCAAGAGCTATCAAATGCGCTACTCAGAATTAAAAAAAAAAATTTTTTTTTCACGTTTTTTAGAATAGAAATTTTTCTAGAAAAAAAACTGAAATTACATATATTTAATAAAATTAGTAAGTAACTAGTATTTATAACTGAATGGGCTTACAAACAATGATAACAAGATACATTTATTGTATTCGACGTTGTAACAGAGGAATTTGCATTGTTTTTATTTTTAATGACTTTCTACAGTATTGTGCTCACCGATAATCACTGTGATAATGACTGAGTGTTTACGTGGTTTGATTTACTTGACTTTCATGAATGTATACATATAGCAGAAAATACGTATGGAAATTCAGTCTCTTATCAGCTTTAATGAGTGAAATATCAATGTGTCCAATCTAGTCAGTAAATTATGCATGTATTTTTTGTTCATTAAAAATGACGAAATAAAGAAACTTAAACATTGAAGAGCGATCTGAGATAGTAGCCTTGCATAAAGTGAATAAAAGTAATAATGAAATTTCCAAAATTTTATTATTATTATTAAAACGTTGTAATAAATAAATTTTGTAGAAAAATTGTAACCAAATTATGTTAATCTATTCTGAGTAAGTAATAAATTATGGTTCAATAAATGTATCTTGTTATCATTGTTTGTAAGCCCATACGGTTATAAATACTAGTTACTTACTAATTTTATTAAATATATGTAATTTCAGTTTTTTTTCTAGAAAAATTTCAATTCTAAAAAACGTGAAAAAAAAAATTTTTTTTTTTATAATTCTGAGTGGCGCATTTGATAGCTCTTGCAAAATACTACATTTTTTCTTCTGAGAGATTTTTCTTTAGAGTTGAAAATAAAAAAAATACAGCCCATTTTTTGAAAATCTTTGTTTTTGTATAAAACACCATATAGCTCATAAAAAATAAAGGTAAAAAAATTTTCCGGATATAGATTTTGTAGCTTTTTGAAAGCTCTATCGAATGGTTTATACAATTTTTCCATCGTAGAATCCGTTATATAAATAAATCGGGGTCGAAGTTGATGTGAAAAAATTAAAAAAAAACAATTTGTTTATGACGTCACAAGTTGTACAAAAAACAAATAAAATCAATTATGTTTTACAACATTTGAAAGGTCTTGGCAAGGATTTTCTAGCTCTTATAGAAACTGAGCCATAAAACTCTAAAGTTTTGATGATTTCAGCAAGGGGATGGCAAATCTTTATGGACGGTAGTGTACAAATACGGTTGTTGGAAATTCTTGATGCGAAGAGTATATTTTTCGGTTGTACGATGGCGCCGACAGCACACGTGTAATCGGTCAGCGTTAATACTTCTACGCAGTCTAAGATGATAGCTTGATTGCCTTTGGGACATAAGTTTTTCTGCGTGGTCGTAGAGTAGCTAGATTCTATAGGTTCTTTAGTAGTAAAGGTAGGGATGGTTTTGATTGTAGTCGGATCACCTCTCAGAGGGAGTCTTCCCTCTGAAGTATCGGCCATTGCACGGCACCTAGTCACTCGCCGCCGTGAAGGGGACACATGTCCGAGCTCCGCAGCACTATAACGCGTGTATTGCTTCTGATTGTCAACACTGAGAGAGCGATTATAAACACGTCTACACTCGTTGAGTGATCGAAAGCGACTGGAAATATATTAATTTTAGTATAAAGTATTTGTTGACAATTGCTAGAAAATATTATCAAAACCCAATTACATTCTTGAATATTATTGTATCACATGCAATTATTAACTTATTAGATGATAATGCTGGTATAATTTGAAGTAAAGCTTTATTATTAACTGTTACGGCGTAACTCATACTCGTGGCGCTTGTTCAATCTTAACGGAGAGTAGTTATGCACACGTTAGATGGCGACATGTGGGGCTTCCGGCTATCTCGATGATAAGCGAAGCACATGCATGCAACCGCCAAAAAACAGTCAGTCTACTTCCTGCTTGAGATCCGGGAACAACTAAGTTCGGCCTTTCTAGTCTTATCTTAGAATCACGGTATCGCGAGTGACTACAAAGACGCAAATAAACGAATTGCGCACCCTATTTAACAAGTGAGTGTCAAAGTTAAGCCACCGAAGGCATAATAACAAAATCATAAATTTGCCCCCTGCCGATCGTTGAATAATTAAAAAGGTTCATTGTTCCGCCATTTTAAATTGCACCACGTGCATACTAAACCAAAGAATTAATCGAATACTTTAAAAATTTCCAGTGATGTAAATCATCTTAAACCTAAATAACATAAAACTATTTTACATTCATTATGTGAGATAGTACAAGCTTCTCGATAGCTTATTTAGGGGAAGGAGGGGCAAGCGTGGTAGGGCGGGTAAGCTTGGCACTCGGATAATTTATTTATAGGCAACGTGTAAAAATCTGATTAAAATGAAAAGCTCTTCAGTAATGCCCCTACTACTTTAACATGAGCTTACTTTATCAGAAAAGAAGTTTAACAATTAATTTGACGTATTTGAAAAATGGAGTTCCAAAAAAAGGTTGGCTTCATTTTTCAATCGATCGAAACTAACCGAAAATAATAGCTTTTTCAAATAGAAATTAATGCATAATGTACCTTGAATGTTCAAGTTTCAAGCTCAATTTTTTATTTTATTCGAAATGTTATGAAATTGATTCAATTAATAATTAAAAATGATGTCAAAATGGGGCACGAGTAGCACCGGTGATGGGGCACGGGGGGCACATGCGCGACGCAGTGGCCAGTTGTTTGGTTCGGCCTACCTAACCTCTACAGTTGCACTGCAGACTAGGTAGTTAAGTACAGTCATGTAGGAAAAAGTGAGCTTACCGTTTTTTCATTTAGCTATTAAGTTAGTTTATAATTTTTCATTGTATTCGATCGCAACAAAGAGTGTAAGTACCTCATATTGTTTTGGACATCGACACGCGAAATCATGAAATGACGATATGATATACCTACCTATGATAAATTATTATGTTACAGTTAAGCCTACTTAGTCATGGTTAGATATTATAAGAGAAAACTTAATAGAAAAAAATGGACCGAAGGTGAACTTCAATTGGCTATTCAAGATGTGCTTTCTGGAAAATCTTGCAAGAGTGCTGCCCTTGATTTTGGTATACCCAGATCAACACTTCAAAAGAAATTGAAAAAGGAATCTAATGATGCTCCAGATCAATCAAAAAATATTTCATCTGGTGGATTCCATCGCACCTTCACTTATGAACAAGAAGAAGCTCTTGTTCGTATCATAAAAGAGATGGAGACCAGACTAATGGGTCTCAATGGGCAAGATGTGAGAATACTAACTTATCAATTTGCAGAAAAAATGCAGATTCCTCATCAATTTAATAGAGAAAAACAACTGGCTTGTAAAGATTGGCTTGAATCGTTTATGAAAAGACATGGAATGTCATTCAGGAAAGCTGAGCACACTTCCTCAGCAAGAGCTCATGGATTCAACGAAACTGCAGTTCAGGAATTTTTCAAATTATTGGAAAATATTTACAATAAAAATCAATTCACACCTGATAGGATATATAATGTTGATGAAACTGGGATATCAGTTGTTCCAAAGTCATCAATAAAGTAGTGGCTCAAAAAGGACGAAGACAAGTTGGAGGGCTTACTGCCTGTGAACGGGGATAATCAGTCACCGCTGAGATATGTATGTCTGCAGCTGGTGTTTATATGCCTCCTATGTTGATATTTCCAAGAGTCAAAAAAAATTTAGATCTGCTACGTGATGCACCTCCTGGAGCGTGGGCTGAGTTTTATAAAAGTGGTTATATGCAGAGTGATATTTTCATAAGGTGGTTTGAGAAGTTTATACAATTCTCTCAAGCAAGTCTAGATAATCCAGTTCTTCTCTTATTAGATGGTCATGCAACTCATATTAAACACTTGAAAGTTATCGAGTTAGCAAATCAGCATGGTGTCGTTATTCTCTGCTTCCCTCCTCATTGCACGCACAAGATGCAACCATTGGATGTGTGGGGTCGCAGACTTTTCCAAAATCTGCACCGCACATGTTCCTCAACCCTTCTCTTAGTTTTTCCGATAAATCGTAAATCAATATCTCAGTTGATTTACGATTTATTTTTTATGATGTCCGGCAAGCGATCAGTTCATGGAGCACGTAATGCAAACAGCCGAACCTTTTCGACTGGGCCTTTTTTGTACCAGATTTCCACTTTCTCTTTCCCCTCTCCGACGAGTAAAAGCATTGAGTGTTCTTGAAGAGAGTGAGAAGCAAAAGCCTGGCTAGGTCGTGCATCCATGCACCCCCGCGAATGACCAGAGGGACGCGACGTCTCGACGAGTGAGTATCGCCAACTCCTCGCCTCGCTATACTCACTCTGTACGCGCGCGCATATCTCGCGATATCCTGTAGTGCTCGCCTGCGCATAGCACACTCATTTCCAACTCAATAATACAATAATATTTATACCGTACCAGTGTGTTTTAATACTTATTTTCAACGATCGCACCTATCATCCATTATCTCTCCTTATGCCAAACCAAAATCCTAAAGTGGTGACCCCGACGTGATCAACGGACTCGCATCGTGTGTGAGAACTGACATTGTAACCTGGTTTAGTGATTTTTGTGTGTGATCGACCATTGTGCGTTATGTTACCGAACGGAGTAAACCCGCAGGCGACTGCAGGAGTCACCGCCGCAACAGCCGCCGCAACAGCCGCCGCGGACAATGCTCATATTTATCGCGTAGGCTTACGCCTGCCAACGTTTATACCAAATGACACTCAACTATGATTCGGTATGGTTGAGCAGAGTTTTCAAGCGTCGTCTATCACTGCTGAAAACATGAAATTCAGCTACGTCGTTGGATCTCTTTCCCTGCAAGCCGCACAGGAAGTCAAGGACATCATTCTGAGCCCACCGGTCGAAAATCCGTACACCACGCTGAAGACCAAGCTCATCGAAAGACTCTGTAAATCGCAGGAGGAGAAGACGATACAGCTACTGGAAAACGAGGTAATGGGCGATCGCAAACTTTCTGCATTTTTTCGGCATTTGCGTGATCTCGCGGGCGACGCGGTCAATGATCCGTTCGTGCGCACCTTGTGGCTTCGTCGTTTGCCTACACACATACACGGCATCCTCGCATCGCAAAGTGAGGCCACCCTAGACCAGCTTTCGATACTCGCTGATAAGGTTTACGAGTCAGCCAAGCAGGCGCAAGTGCAAGCACAAGTATCTGAGCTCAACAGCAGCACATTAGAGGGACTTCTCTCGCTAAAGTTGTCTCAGATGAGTCTCATTTTTCAAGATGAGATTCGCGCTCTGCGTCTAGAGGTGTACTCTCTCCGTGCCTCAAATGGTCATAACAATCCACAGAACGGCCGCTCAAGATCGCGCTCTCACTCTCGCTCACGCGCACACACTCCAAAGCCCAGTGATATGTGCTGGTACCATCATACGTTCGGTAGCAAAGCAAAGAAGTGCTCCGGCAACTGCAAGATGCACCCAAACTTCAAGGCCGAGTAATAGCTGCGGCGAGCAGCCACCTCCTCGCGCCGACTATTTCTAACAGACAGGAGGACAAACAAATGTTTTTTGATCGACACGGGCTCAGACATCTCTGTACTTCCGCGCTCAATGTTTTCGCCCAAGCTTACAAGGTCAACTTACGAGCTTTCCGCTGCGAATGGCTCTGTCATACATACTTATGGTACAGCAGAGCTTTCGCCCAACTTCGCACTGCGGCGCGACTTTAACTGGAAATTCGTGATTGCGGAAGTCACAAAGCCAATCATTGGTGCCGACTTTCTCGCACACTACGGCCTGATCGTCGATTTGCAAGAGAACCAGCTTATAGACAGGAAGACGAAGCGACCTCACAAGGACGTTTGTTTACGTGTGACACACCAACGATCAAATTCATCGTCTCCACAGGTGCTACGAAATATGACAAATTGCTCGCCGAATTTCCAGACATCACACGCCCCGACGGTCGAGCACCAGTTATCAAGCACGACACGAAGCACTACATCATGACTACCCCAGGCCCACCTGTCTGGAGTAGACAGCGCCGACTTGCACACGATTGCTATAGAGCAGCAAGCGACTTATTTGACGAAATGGTTCAGCGCGGCGTCATGAGACCATCCTCGAGCAGCTGGGCATCCCCACTTCACATGGTACCCAAGGATGAAAAGAAGTGGAGACCATGCGGCGACTATCGTGCTCTCAATGCGCGCACTATCCCAGACCGATATCCAGTTCGGCACATTAGCGACTTTGCTATGCAGCTTCGCGGCAAGCAGATTTTCAGCAAAATTGACTTGGTGCGGGCGTTTAACCAAATACCAATAGCCGAAGAGCACGTCGAGAAAGCTGCAATCATCGCTCCATTTGGCCTTTTCGACCCTCTTTTCATGACCTTTGGACTTCGTAACGCAGCGCAAACCTGCCAGCGTTTCGTTGACGAAGTACTTCGAGGTTTGGACTTCGCGCACTCATACCTGGACGACATTTTAATCGCTTCTGCCAATGAGGAAGAACACCTGCAGCATCTGCGCATCGTCTTCAAGCGCCTCAACGATTACGACATCGTCATGAACACGAAAAAATGTGTTCTGGGAAAGGCCGAGGTCATTTTTCTAGGGTATCGCGTCACTAGCCAAGGAGTTACTCCACCTCCTGAAAGAGCCAAGGAGGTGCAGGACTTTCCACTTCCAACAACAGCAGAGGAGCTACGCCGATTCCTCGGCATGGTCAACTTCTTCAGGACCACTCTTCAAAACACCACTGAAACTCAAGCTTCACTCAACAACTTGCTCGTCGACAATATAAAGGGCAAGGCCAAGCTCACTTGGACACCTAAGGCAATCTCGAGCTTCGAGAAGCTCAAACAAGACCTAGCGCAAGCAGCACTACTGGCTTACCCGAAAACGAACGCGGAGCTTGCGATTTTCAGCGACGCATCGGACTTCAGCGCAGGAGCAGCTCTCAAGCAGAAAGTTAACGGTGTCTGAAAGCCGTTGGGTTTCTTTTCGAAAAAGTTCTGCCCTGCTTAAGCCAAGTACAGCACCTTCGATAGAGAGCTCCTTGCTGGCTATCTTGCAGTCAAGTACTTTCGCCACATGGTAGAAGCACGCGATTTCACCATATATACTGACCACAAGCCGCTTACCTTTGCTTTCCATCAAAAACTCGAAAAAGCTTCACCTCGGATAAGTCGTCAGTTGGATTTCATAGATCAATTTACTACGGACATCAGGCATATCTCTGGCAAAGACAACGTCGTAGCTGATGCACTCTCAAGGATTGAAGAAGTAGCAGCAACGCTCGACTATACGGCTGTAGCGCAAGCACAGAAAGTAGACGCAGAGCTCAAGAGCTTGCAAGCTTCCAAGACTTCTCTTCAACTTAAAGGAATGCGCTTACCAGGGAGCGATGCTGAGTTGATTTGCGACTACTCCACTGCAATAGCCCGTTCTTACATGCCACCAGCCTTCCGACGAATTGCCTTCGACACCGTGCATAGGCTCTAACACCCAGGCATAAAGGCAACTACCAAGGAAGTGGCGAAGCGCTACGTCTGGCCATCGATTAACACCGACTGTCGCACTTGGACGCGGGCATGTATACAGTGCCAACGCTCCAAAGTGACACGTCACGTGCACTCACCCATCGGCAGCTTTGTACATCCTTCTTCCAGGTTCGAACACATACACATCGACATCATCGTGCTGCCGCCGTCAGAGGGACAGAGATACTGCCTAACCTGCATCGACCGGTTTTCTCGCTGGCCAGAAGCTTTCCCGATGCCGGACCAGGAGGCCGAGACCGTCGCAAGAGCCTTCTACAACGGCTGGATTTGTCGCTTTGGCACGCCGCTTCGAGTGACAACAGACCAAGGCCGACAATTCGAGTCATACCTGTTCAATGCGCTTAGCCGTTTGACAGGTACGACCCACCTGCGTATATCTGCCTATCATCCCGCAGCGAATGGCATGATCGAGCGCGTTCACAGGCAACTAAAAGCTGCGATTCGTTGCCACGAGAACGACAGCTGGACTCGCGCTCTCCCAACTGTGCTTCTCGGTATACGCGCCGCATGGCGTGAGGACGCCGCAGCCACAGCAGCCGACTTACTGTACGGACAGCCACTTCGCCTTCCCGGGGAACTGCTCGTTGCATCAAAAGCTAACAACGATGACCCAGCTTCTTTCGTGACGGAGTTGCGCAACTACTTCGCGAAGATACGACCAGTCCCGGAAAAATCACACGACGAGCAGAAAACCTTTATTTTCAAGGATCTGGCAACGTGCAAGTCCGTTTTATTTCGCCGCGACGCTGTGAGGTCTTCACTCCAAATGCCTTACGATGGACCATTCCGCGTGCTGACTCGATCGGATAAAACGTTTAAGCTGCAGCTCAACGGTCACACAGCCAACGTTTCTATCGATAGACTCAAGCCAGCATTTGTCCTCGGAGATGCTCCAGAGAACGCACATCAAAACGACGAGGAAGACGAGTTTCTGTTAATACGTCATCGCCAGGCACAGCCCCAACAACAGCAGCAACAAGAGCCAGCTCCTCAGCAGCAACAACAACAGCCACCGGCAGCTCATGAAAACAACGGACAACGACCAGCTATCCGAAGATCCACACGACGTGTACGTTTCCCAGAGCGCTATCAAGCTGGGTTCAATTAATATTACAGTATTATGATAATCGTTCATTGTCACGCATTCAGCATCACTATTAGTATTTTCTTTTCGTGACTTCATCACTGGGAAGGGGGTACTGTGGGGTCGCAGACTTTTCCAAAATCTGCACCGCACATGTTCCTCAACCCTTCTCTTAGTTTTTCCGATAAATCGTAAATCAATATCTCAGTTGATTTACGATTTATTTTTTATGATGTCCGGCAAGCGATCAGTTCATGGAGCACGTAGTGCAAACAGCCGAACCTTTTCGGCTGGGCCTTTTTTGTACCAGATTTCCGCTTTCTCTTTTCCCTCTCCGACGAGTAAAAGCATTGAGTGTTCTCGAAGAGAGTGAGAAGCAAAAGCCTGGCTAGGTGGTGCATCCATGCACCCCCGCGAATGACCAGAGGGACGCGACGTCTCGACGAGTGAGTATCGCCAACTCCTCGCCTCGCTATATTCACTCTGTACGCGCGCGCATATCTCGCGATATCCTGTAGTGCTCGCCTGCGCATAGCACACTCATTTCCAACTCAATAATACAATAATATTTATACCGTACCAGTGTGTTTTAATACTTATTTTCAACGATCGCACCTATCACCCATTATCTCTCCTTAGGCCAAACCAAAATCCTAAAGATGTTTCTTTCAACGGCCCCCTGAACTGCTGTTTTGGCAAAGAAGTGGCCAACTTCCAACGCCAAGGTCAGAAGGCGACCTTAAAGAATCTGTATGGCTTGTTTGGAAAAGCTTTTCTACAAGCAGCTAAGATGGAAACCGCAGTCAATGCATTCAAAAAATGTGGGATATACCCCTTCAATCCCAATGTATTTTCTGAAGAAGATTTCAGTGCTTCAAGAGATACATCTCTAAATAAATCCAACAACAATAATAATCAAGGTAAATGATTAACACAAAACTATTCTTATATAAACTTTCCTCGTTGCACTCACACTTTAATACTTTCTTTTATTTTCTATTAAAAATGACCTTTTGATCCAATTTCAGAATCAGAGAGAAATATTCAGCGATTTGAAGAGGTTATGAGAGAAATAATCCATTCTCAAGAAGACGCTAATCCTAAAAACCATCATAATAAATCTATTCCAACTGATACGCTTCACCATATGTCAACCTCAGATGCAGCTACACTTCAACACTCTTTATCAAATAATATGTCATCACACCAAGAGGTTACAATCCCTCTTTCATACATTCTACAAACCAAAGACCTCATCAACCATTTGGTAAATAATATTCTTTGTAATCTTTCTTTAAATCCGAGATCAGGTTTTCTTTCATTATTTGTTGTTTTTATAGAGTTCATCCTTGAAAGTACACACTGAAGGAGGAATGGGTGAAAATGGTGGAAACACTCATTGTACATTTGAATCATCATAAGAATCTGCCAATCTCTAAATTAATTAACTCTGAATTAATTAACTAAGTTAAAAAAGTAATTCCATCGTGAAATTGATTATTAAAGTAGATATTAAATACGACATTGTGTTACTCAACATTTTTAAACAGTTGCCTCTGTTTCATGCGTTGCTTCAATAAAAAATTCTGTTACAATGACGTATTAATTTGTTATTTCAACAAATTTATTATTAATTTGAAGAAATAGTCGTATATTAAATCAATTACGGTTGTATTAATTATTTCGACATTGACATTTGATAAATTAATCTAGAATACTTATTATTCCAACTATAACATTGTTGTTTCAATAGAAAAACCTGTTATTGCAATAATTTTTTTCGTTCACTCAATGAACTTCCCATTTCTTACTTCAACATTCGTAAAAATAATAAATTAACTAAAATAT